AAAATAAAATAAAAAGAAGAGCTTATGTAACCTATCTGGAACTATGTTAAACTAAGTTGGCTTTGAAACCATGCATTTTAATCCCTGAGAGTTCTAACTGTAGCTTCTCATTGTTTCTTACACTTTTTCCCACATACTAATGGATCGATCTTGTCCTGGAAACATGGAACCAGTACACACAAATTAATTAATACAATCCACAATTAGCAATTGATTTTCTGCTTGATTATATTGATCGCATTAGGTAATCAGTATCACAAGATGTAATAGCAAAACAGACCTGCTGGATCGATGATCCAGTTTTTTCGGGCGATGTTTGATCTCTCAAACAAACCACATGCATGACATCATGACAAAAGAGCCCAACATGTGTGCCAACCTTAATCAAAACCGTCAAATACTAGTCGATGTCACAACTATAAGCGCAATTTTTTTTTAATACAAATGTATATATAAGCTCCTGCTAGAACCCATTACTCTAAATAATTTGGTTTGAAGTCCCGTAGATCCCTAGCTATCGATGGTAAAATTTTCCAATAATTTATTGTGCAAAATACTGGGGACACTAACGTTGAAGAACCAGCAAGAAACTGTAGCCGAATTTTAAAGGCTTTAACAATGACAGAATTAGGATTTTTGTATTTGCGGGGCGAAATGTCCAAAAATTCATTTGTAAGGACAAAAATCTTTTTTTTTAAAAAAAGTAATTTACACTAAAAATTTGAAGCACTCAAATAAAAAGTACGGCGAAGGGAGCAACCGCCGCTGTTGGTTCCCTTGTTCCGCCTATGGGTTTTAATGACGTTGGCCTAGTTACATAAGTTAATCAATTAAAAATGATTCTCTTGCCCTAATTTTGCCATCATAATAATAATCATGTAATAGGAAAATCATCTAATGGCACCAATACTTGTTAAGCCAAATTATTAGAAGTTTGGCACCTCTTAACATGGATTTCCAGAAAATGAATCTTGAAAAAAAAAAGAAAAAGAAAAAAACATGCTGCGGTAGGTTTTACTTCAGAAAGGATTTGACCCAACTTTTTTGTGCAGATCGTGTCCGTTTCCCTGATTTTCTGGCAACTGATCATCAGCTGAATTTGCATGTTCCTCTTTTTAATGATATGAGTAAATTGATCAAGATACTATAATGTTTAAAATTGACGTAGCGGAGCAATTAATGAAGAAGTTTCATCGTGCTAACAATAATAACGAGTCGTAACACTTGCAAGCCTAAAATTATAGATATAGCAATCTGTCACCAACATTTTATGCATCATACTGTATATATGATAATACTTCCTCCAAATCCCATAAATTAGGTTTGGGATAATGAAAAGAATATTCAAGTATATATGAGCTTTCCCGATCTCACGATAAAAACGAACACTTCTAAAAAGATTATATATATATATATATATCTTATTATATTAAAAACAAAAACCACACTTAAGAGAAAGTATCACCATTTGGCATGTGGCATTTCCACATCATATTTTTAAAATAAATCTTTATTTTCACATCTTCTAGACTTAAAAGGCAAATGCAGTCCAAATCCACCTCCACCTCCTATTTTTGCCAAAACAAAAAAAAAAAAAGACGGGTTCATAAAAAACCCAAATCCTCATCCCCATCTCCACGACAATCGACTCCCTAATCAATCCCTTCTCCACAATAAAAAAATAAATAAATTCCTCATCAATCATCAATTGAGAATATGCGGTAAAATATACACATTTTCTATTAGCATGTTCAATCTTTTCATTAGTGATGATCAACTACATCCTGATCAGATAAAATTTCGAGTTCAAAAAATATTCTCTTTACCTTTCTATATAAACACAAAGGAAAAAAAATTATCATTGATCTTGCTTCGGCCGTTGTGGTGGTGCAATTACAGGTATTAAAATTTAAATAATTTTATTTCCATAGATCATTTGTTTGGCTTTTATTATTTTTTGTTTTTCCAGTTCAAGAATAGTGTTATTACTATTATTTTTATGCGTCCATCCATTACAGTTACCGTAGCCGTTGTCAAGTAATATGATGTGATTTCTTATATAATTAGTTAGTCTAGAAGTTTTGTATGATTTTAGTTCTATTTGGATTGAATTGATTAATTGAGTTTTTGTTACAAAGTGTGTTTTTTAAATTTCTTTTTAATGTTTCATTCAATTAGAGTGGTTTTCTTTTTTTAATTATGGAGTCTCAGTTTTTTTTCGTATATGGTCAGTTACGAAGTGTGTTTTTTCTTTGTTTGATTGTTTTTTATTTTGTTTCATACTCCTAGTTGACCAATTCTTATTATTATTATTTTATTTTATTTGCAAATAAAGCGCGTTTTTTTTTGTGTTCGGGCTTTCAAGAATATACTTTTTGAATTTTGGTTTTTGGATTTTTTTTTAGTTTCTCATCATCTAAATAGTTCAGGTCGCTTCTTCTAACTAATTTCTGAGGAAGCCTTTTATGAATTTGAGGCGGAGAGGGAAAGAATGATGTTTCTACGTTTATTTGTATTTTTATACAACATTTTCACCTATAGAAAAAAATAAATTTCTCAATTTTAAATGGGCTATCTTTTACTTTCTTTCTTTTTTTATTTGCCATGGTGAGGTGAGTTCTTTTTTGGTATAACTTGAAACCTATGCAAATTTACATTATTTTCATTCTCATATTTGTGATCAACCAATTTCATCAGTTAACCAGTTTCAAAATTATATTTTTGATATTTTACTACTTCTTATTATTATTATTATTATTATTATTATTATTATTATTATTATTATTATTATTATTTTTGCAAATGAAGCGCGTTCTTTTTTTGTGTTCGGACTTTCAAGAATATACTTTTTTGGATTTGGTTTTTGGACTTTTTTAAATTACTCATCATATAAATGGTTCAGGTCTCTTCTTCTAACTAATTTACGGGGAAGTCTTTTATGAATTTGAGGTGGAGAGGGAAGGAATGATGTTTCTACGTTTATTTGTGTTTTATACATCATTTTTACCTACATGAAAAAAAAAAATTTCTCAATTTTTAATGGACTCTTTTACTTATTTTTTTTTATTTGCCATGGTGAGATGAGTTCTTTTTTGTTATAACTTGAAACCTATGCAAATTTACATTAATTTTCATTCTCATATTTGTGATCAACCAGTTTCAACAATTAATCAGTTTCAAAATCATATTTTTGATATTTTACTAACTATAAGCCTTTGGAAGAAATAGTTCCAACAATTAAACGTATACCCTTCGGAGGAAGCTTACTACAAAGCTATTATAAATTTCCAAAACCAAGTATTGATTTGGCACGACAATGGAGAACATCAATAAATCATCTTACTAATATTTAAACTTAATAGGATACTTTTATATTTTGTCTAACGTTTACTTCAAGAGATATACTTGATCAAGTTTATTTATTTTTAATAAGTAACACTTATAAAATATTTCTAAAATATTCAAACATTTCTAAAATGTACTGGGTCAAATACACTTTCTTTTTTTTGCCAAATACAAACATTTCTATCACCACATTTATAAAATATTTCTAAATTCTTCAAACATTTCTAAAATATATCGGGTCAAATGCAAAATATTTTTTTTTAAATACAAACATTTCTAAGATCTACAAATATACTAGGCCATGCGCGACCAGACATCATTCAGGAGAAAGCGCCACCATTTGCCATGTGGCATTTCCGCATCATATTTTTAAAATAAATTTTTATTTCTACATCTCCTAAACTTAAAAGGCAAATGTAGTCCAAATTTATTTCCACCTCCTATTTTCATCAAAACAAACAAAAAAAAACCACGGGTTCATAAAAAACCCAAATCCTCATCCCCATCGCCACGACAATGAACTCCTTAATCAATCCCTTCTCCACAATTAAAAATAAATAAATTCCTCATCAATCATTAATTGAGAATATGTGGTGAAATATACTCCTTTCCTATTAGCATGTTCAATCTTTTCATTAGTGATGATCAACTACATCCTAAGCGGATAGAATTTTAACTTCAAAAAATATTCTCTTTACCTCTCTATATAAACACAAAGGAAAAATAAAATTCTCATTGATCTTGCTTCGGCCGTTGTGGTGGTGTCATTACAGGTATTAAAATTTAAATGATTTTATTTCCACATATAATTGGTTTGGCTTCTATTATTTTTATTTGTTATGATAAAGGAATTCTCTCTCAGTAATTTTATTATTCACTTGCATCGTTTTCTTTTTTTTAAAAAAAAAAGGAAAAATATTCCCCTGGATATATAATCCTCTTATAATTTCTAATACTAGTAGTCTTTATCATTAACAAAAATATCTTAATTATACCATGTGAAATACTAGTATCGAAGAATCGGCCAAAGCAATATACATGTATACTCCCTCTGTCCCAAAAACCACACTTAAGAGAAAGTACCATCATTTGCCATGTGGCATTTCCACATCATATTTTTAAAATAAATTTTTATTACCACATCTCCTAAATTTAAAAGGCAAATGTAGTCTAAATTCATTTCCACCTCCTATTTTCGTCACAACAAACAAAAAAAAATCACAGGTTCATAAAAAACTCAAATTCTCATCCTCATCTCCACGACAATCGACTCCTTAATCAATCCATTCTCCACAATTAAAAAAAAAAACAAATTCCTCATCAATCATCAATGGAGAATATGTGGTGAAATATAGTCATTTCCTATTAACATGTTCAATCTTTTCATTAGTGATGATCAACTACATCTTAATCGGATAAAATAAATAAAAAATATATATCAAGAAAAAAGAGCCAGTATATTTCATTGTTAATTACTCTCAAAAGTCAACTCGCTTGCTCAAAATAAAAAGAGTCAAAAGTCTCAATGCATATCTTGTCACGTCTTTATATAATACCAAAGTTATCAGCAATGTGAAGTGGCTTTGAGAATTAGCAGCATTAGCCTGCCACACACAACCCCCAAAGAAAAACCCACCTTTTACCCGCTAATAGCTATGGCCGGTGCCGGAAAAATCCCAGAAGAGGCCGTCACCGTGGTGATGGTTGCTTTTCCGGCGCAGGGGCATCTGAACATGCTCCTCCACCTCGCCCGCTTAATCGCATCTTATAACATTCCGGTTCACTACGTGTGCACTCCACCGCACATTCGGCAGGCAAAGCTTCGTGTCCATGGCTGGAATCCCGATTCCATTTCCAACATTCATTTTCACGGATTCCCCGTCCCTCATTATGAAGCGCCTCCTCCTGATCCAAATTCTGCCCAAAAAGTACCCGTGCATCAGATTCCAGCCATTCTTTCGTCGGTTCACCTCCGGGATCCAGTTTTTCAACTCATGAAAACATTGTCCAGTAGCTCGACAAAGAGATTAGTAGTCATTCATGATGCCTTGATGACGTACGTCATCGGAGACATTGGTTTGGTTCCAAACGCCGAATCCTACGCCTTTTCGGTATCCTCTGCTCTATGTAGTTACTCCGCGCTGTGGGAACTTGCAGGGAAACCCGAAGGAGTGCCTGAATTCCAACTCCTGCAGGTCCTGCCAAGGCTTAACTACCCACAAGAATTGCAAGAATTTGTGCGGTTACTTCTTGGTACCAAAATAACCAGCTCCGGAACCCTCATCAATTCCTGCACCGCGATAGACGGTCCGTTTCTCGATCACCGTACTAAGTTCAAGAGTTTCGGCTCGGACAAAGTTTGGGCAGTTGGTCCATTGCATCCTCTTCATCATGTAATGGTAAACGATGAAGAGGATCAAGGGCAGCAGCGACATTACTGTCTTGACTGGCTGGATAAGCAAGCTCCCCATTCAGTTATATTCGTGACATTTGGTTCCTCCACTACGCTTTCAGATGAAGAGATCAAAGAGATGGCAATCGGTTTGGAGAAAAGCAAGCAAAAGTTTTTATGGGTGCTTAGGGATGCGGATAAAGGTGATATATCTAACCACGAAGGTGGTGATGATCAGGTTAAAGAAGTAAGGCAAGTTCAATGGCCAGAAGGGTTTGAGAGCGGAATTAAGGAAGGGAATAGAGGAATCATTGTAAGGGATTGGGCGCCTCAACTGGAAATTCTTGCACATTCTTCGGTTGGTGGATTCTTGAGTCACTGCGGATGGAATTCATGCATGGAAAGCCTTAGCCACGGTGTCCCTATGGCTGCTTGGCCGATGCATTCGGATCAGCATATACATACTGTGTTAATTTCAAAGGTGCTCAGAGTTGGACTGCCGGTCCTGCCGGAATTTTTGTCATCAGATCCTCATGCTGAAAAGATTCAGGTGACATCAAAAGATATTGAAAATACGGTGAGAAAGCTGATGGATTCTGCGGAGGGACACCAGATGAGGCAAAGGGCTCAAGAAGTGAGCATAGCAGTGAAAGCATCTACAATGGATAATGGAACTCCATTTGGGGTGGATTCTTTTGTCGCTCATATTCGCAGATAATTAATTTTTTTTATTTAGGCAAAAAAAAAAAAAAAAAACCCAAACCAGAATTTCTTAATTAGTTTCCCAAATCTTAATATTTGTTTTTTGTTTTGGAGTTCTTTTCAGGATAATTTAAACCTGTTCCCCAGTTTAAAATAGTGTGAAAGTGTGGGGAAGTGTTTGTGAATTCATTGCTAAGATGATGATCATGATCTGCTGTTCTGTTATCAATAATTTCTGGTCCTGAATATCTGTCTAATGCCTCTGTTATAGCTCCAGAACTTTTGCTTTCATAAGTTATGATACTCTGAGGTTGAAAATAAATGGGCTATAAAATCATAAAATTTGTCGTAAACTACTCTTATCACTTTATTTTTTTCACCAGTCTTTTTACTCATTTTAAAAAGGTGCGTAATGTGCTTATCATTAGTATCACCAGTTTTTTAAAAGAACTACCGAGTGGAACCCCACATAAATATTGGTAAGCCCCGTTACATCCAAGTAAAAAGTTATTCAATTCGCTCATTTGTATAACCTGTTTGTTTTTGCATTTTATTTGATAATCAACAATAAGTCAATTATCTGATATTACTTTTGCCACTTAATACTATAATTCGACATACCTCGTACAACTTATGGGAGCAAACCTAGCTATTTATTTTACTAAAATGAATATTATATACTCTTTCAAGTGAATTATCAAACAGTACAAGATGAATACTAATTTTTATGAAAGGAAATTTCACAACATACCAAATGAATGTTCAAGTTCTACTTAATAAATGTTAGGGTTTTTTTCGCAAAAACAAATTCCTGCCAAATTACAATGTTAAGAAATTTTCAAGGATACTCTAAAGGTTTAAATGAAATGAATTTTAGGATTTTCTTCAAATGAATAATCAAACATCACAAAATAAATATTTTAGGTTTTTTTTAAAAAAAAAAATGTCTTACAAATTTTGGGCGCATTACTCGCGATTCGATTCTCTCAAGCCCACATGACAGTTCAGAGTAACATGGCAATAAGCCAAAAAAAAATTCTAGAAACCCTTGTTTGAGATCTCCTCCTAATTAACTAATAAGTCAACCTCTTTATTTTATATCTCAACGAATACGCCTTTTGTTTATTTTAATACAACAATTAAGCCAAATGAGTAAATTACAAACACATGTGTGTTGTTCTTTCGATTGTTGCATGATTATTTGTCACAGAGGAAATTACAGAACTAGTGAATCCTTGAGCCAGTTAGGGAAGGATTAGTGAGGGCGAGTTCAAATTTCTTCAATTCTCATTCAAACGTATTTAGACTGCATTCTCTTCATCTTAAAAAAGAGAAAATAGTCCATTTTGTTAAAATAAAAAATACAACACTGTGAATTTTTTTCTAAGACAGGTGGGATTTTTTTTCAATCAAGATAATTAACCTTGAAATGTAGAAAATTCACGCCCACGTGAAAATGCACATAAAATACTGTCATTATTGTAACGTTGGCTAAATTCCAGTTCATATATATGATGGGTCAGCAGCTTATTGATAGTTTTGGTTTTATTGTTCTACTCTTTGTGTTCTGCGATCAATTCAGAAAGTCAAAATGAATCGATCTGCGCTGGACACATGCAGGGAATCAGCGCATCCAAAAAAATAGGACCCAATCTGTAATTAATTTTTTGCTTTGATTAATTTTAATAAATATATAGCATTAAGTTAGCACTATATACGGCATGAAGTAGCTTGATCGATCCAGATTTTCTTGGGGCGATTTTTTTTAAAAAATAAAATAGTACTTTTATTTATTTACTGAAAATCGTCCAACTGCGATTAATTGATACAAAGAAACAGTCAAATACAATTTACAATGTATCACTTTATTGTGTTTACCATGGATAAGCCGATACAGATCTATCACGTACCAGAGTATGAATCTGATCTTGAATATATTTTTAAAATTCTATTGAAAACTCCAAATCACTCCAAATCACATATCTAAATATTAGATATGCAGTGATTGGTTTTTCGTGGGGCATATGTGACGTTGAGAACATCTTCAACACCGCTACGAACACTGAAAAACAAACCTACCTCTCAGTAGAGTAATCTACTGAAGAAACACTGAAAACAAGAAAACCCGACCCTCTCAAAAGATTATCTAAATAATCTATTGAAGGAACTAATTTGTGAGAATAAACTCACTTATTAAACGACAAAGAACAAAACAAAAAATAATTCAACAAGTTTAATTCCCCATCCTCCCATCATAAGAAGATAGGGGAAGAAGTTTGTTTTGGAGTTGGAGTTTGAGAGAGAGAGGGAGGGAGGGGCGGCTACTAGGGTTAAGATAAATTTTCTTGGGGCGATTTGATCCTCACAAAACCCACATGACATCGTTACACAAGCATGTGCGCCAACAAATCAACAATAATTTTAGTTGTTGATGTAATAATAGTTCTCACTAAAAAAAAAATGATTTGAAGGTTTGTTATAGTTGTTGTCACTCGAAAACAGGTTGATAGTATTTCACTATTTCTCGATATTTGTAATAATACCTCTTGAAATCAATTATTTTGTAGTGATGTTATTATTTCACTGCAATTTAATATCTTAATATTGATATGACAACTCAGTATGAGTTCTATACCTTGTCTATTCGTTTTTGGGCATGCTATTTCACCTACTTTGGTTTTTGGGCTTTCCATAACGCATACAAATTGTCTATATAAAAGAAGGGATCCTGATTCCTGAGTTCATCATCACCTATCTTCCCTAACAATGTAAAAGCTGATATGATATCAACTGGCATAATAGGTCGTCTTCATTTACCAACAGCAGACTTGAATGATCTGGGCAAGTATTTAAAAGCAAAGTGGTCAATTTTTCGTCTCGAGTGGACAAACTATTATACTCCCTCCATTCTAAAATTATTGTCCAGTTTAGATTTTCACTTTTAGTTTAATTTATACTAAAAATAAAAATTGAAACTGAATAATAATTTCGAGACCAGTAAAATATTTTATAGGATTTCCGCACATTACTAGTTGTGATCTGTAGATCTTGAGTGTTTACAGAACCAAAAATAAAAATCAAAGGGAAAAAGTAGTATCCCCATTCAACCAGTTACCTGTAAATTAAATTAAGTGGGAATTACCAAAAACAAGTACTTGGTACTTGAACCTGACTCAAGGATTGTTACGTACACACCAACAATAATGGCAGAAACAAAGAGGTTTTGACAATCTCTCAATGGTTCCTTTAACCTTTTTTGCTGGTACTGGCAGATCATGTACCAAACTTCTTATTATCATTTGCAGGTTTGCTGTAGTGACAGGGGCAAACAAAGGGATTGGTTTTGAGGTATGCAGGCAGCTAGCTTCACATGGAATCACTGTGGTCTTGACTGCTAGAGATGAGAAAAGGGGTCTTGATGCTCTTCACAAGCTCAGAGAATCTAGTGGCTTTCAGGATGATCTTCTGCTATTTCATCAGCTTGATGTGGCTAATCCATCTAGTGTCGCTTCCCTCGCCGAATTCATCAACAATCAATTTGGAAGGCTTGATATATTGGTTAGTAAATCTTTGTTGTTTGATGCCTGAATATGCACTTCCATGGTTCATACTCTTTTATTCTTAAAAGGGCCTGGTTAAATCATATCCGCATTAAGTAGGCACAGCAAGAATTTTCGCTGGTTGACCCATTGAATTCTTACCAATCCATATGCCATTTAAGGTGAACAATGCAGGAAACTCTGGCGTCCAAGTAGATGTTGATGCAGTTAAAGCTGCTGCAGAAGTGGTAAGTTGAACTTGTAAGATAAGTTGCCATGATATGGAATCTGAGTGTTTGATACAGTGTGGAATCTTTGATTTACTTTAACGATTACGTGCTGATATAGTGGTTTAACAAGTATTCCGCAGTAAAAACCATTTTACCGATTTGTCAATTTTTTTCTTTTTGGTGTTTTTTTTTTTTTCCTGAGCTGTCTTAATTAGAGGCCTCTTCTTTGAATCTTTATATGGATTGATGCAGTCACTAGAAGCTCAATGGGAAGTAATGAAGAGTACAATGACTAGCTCTTACGAGTCGACGCAAGAATGCTTGGAAGTAAACTATTATGGTGCCAAAAGAATGGTTGAAGCCTTTTTACCACTTCTAAAGTTTTCTCAGTTGCCAGTAATTGTCAATGTTTCGTCTTCTGCTGGCAGGTTGAAGGTAAGTCCACTGAGTATCCTCCGGTCCTTAATATAACACATTTTAATTTCGTACTAGGTTTCACATAATACATATTTTTAATTGACGAAAAAACCTTTAAAACATTTCATAACTTAATATAAATACATTTTGGTTCCGTCCAAGATTTCATAAACCTTGGACGGAACCAAAATACCTTTATATTAAGGATCGGAGGGACTATTTTGTATCGCTGGAAGATATTTTCCCTGACATTATTTTGACTTGGGTAAATGATCAAACTTAGCCAAACTGCAGGCATTTATTTATGAACGGCCCTTTTGATACTTCTGAACCAACAAACCGAGGATTCTTATGTACTGCTAAACGTTCTTCTCTTTGCTTGCTAAAAGATCTTTTTAACAAGCCGACAGTGTTAAAAAACTCTAATTCACAACTAAAATGAATGGAAAGAAACTTAGATATATAGGAAATTCTCTCTGTTTCAAAATTATTGTCCAGTTTTAATTTTCAATTTTAGTTCAATTTGTACTAAAAAAGGAAATTCAAACTAGACAATAATTTCAGGACAAAGGGAGTATATCAATATTTCGCGCAGTCCAATTAATACATAACAGACATATATCTAATCGAGCCTCAACATGTTTCAGACTATTCCCAGTGAACGGGTGAAAGGCATACTCAGTGATGTTGACAACCTTACAGAGGACACAGTTGATGAATTGATGAATGAATTTATGAAAGACTTCAAGGAAGGTGCCCTCGAAGCCAATGGTTGGCCTGTTCTCTTGTCAGGTTACAAGGTCTCAAAAGCAGCCATGAATGCATACACAAGACTTCTGTCCAAGAAGCATCAAAACATCAAAGTCAATTGTGTCTGTCCTGGATTTGCCAAAACTGATATAAACTTTAACACAGGCATCTCTACTGCCGAAGAATGCGCCGGAAATGTTGCCAAGGCAGCTCTGCTGCCAGATGATGGTCCGTCTGGCTTGTTTTTTGTTTCTGGTGAAGTTTCTTTTTTCGATTAGATTGACATATTCATAAGCAATGTACCCATATCTCTAGTCTCCACCCTTTTGCTTTTGTAAGACCAGTAAAGTATATCCTTCGTGTGCAGAGACTACCGAGGATCTTTACAGTCATGACCAAGAAATTATCATCTTTGGTGTTATTTGATAGCATGTGCTACTGGACTGAAACATGAATCGAGAATTGGTCAATCTAAGGGAACACAAGCAAAATTAATTGCTAGCACAGTTCTGCATACAATGATCTGAACTATATATATTAAGCGACGATTAAGTAAATACATATGTGTCACATCAGTCACTATCTCATTTTACTATTATTTTTGTCTTATATACCATATTCCAGGTAATAATGTTCTTATGAAACTGTGTTGATCTTGTTAATCCCATCGATTTCACTTTTATTATACTCATTTTGTCTCAAAAAAAAACTTTTAATACAAACCTCAAAATCTTAATGTAATTACTTTTTCTAGACAGAAAGAGTATCTTTTTTTTCTTGGGCATTTCCATATTTCTGAAGTCTTTAAGATTTTATATGAAAATAAGATTTCAAACACATTCAACTTTTTTAGCTTGGAGACAATGGAAGAATGGAACACCATAAGCAATATTGCTTGATCTAGGTATCCGCGAATCCAACAGCAAGACATGAAAGTGATTCAATGCATACAGATTGGCTTACTAATTTGTTTCTTTGATCTAAGACCTACCATGGCTTCAGTGGTTCTAATGCTGAAGCTGAATAGTTCCTCCGTTGCGCAATCAATCCCTAATCCATCTGCATTCTTTATCCATCCAGCACAGATTCCCCAATCAAGGCAGCCTGTTGCTCAGCGGGATCGATAAGCATATTAGTCATAGGATTTGATTTAGCCATTTAAATACTTAGCTTGATCTGATAGATTAGGAAGGAGCCTATCGTATATGTATTATTAGACTATTGTTTGGAATCATATACACACAAGTTTCCAGCATGATTCTTCTGCCTCTTATGCATAGAAAATGGTGCGGAAAGAAAAAGACCTGATGACTTTATTCATATTTCCATCTTGTTTGTGAACTGTTTGGATTGTAGACACGACGTTTTATCGGTCGGCGAAGGCTTGGTGAAAATTGACCTTGGGTTTGCTACCCAAGAAGTACATCATTCTAATTATTAGAATGTTATTCAATTTCCTCATTTGTATAACCTGTTTGTTTTTGCATGCTATTTTATGTTTAATAATTAGTTGATTACGTGAATTTATTTTTGCATTCATTTATCAACAAAATTTTATAATTGCACATACCTCATGCAACGTACGGGAAAAACCTATTTTTATAGGCAGAAGATGACTATTTATTTTACTATAAAAGGATTGTTATACACTCTTGGAAGTGAATTACCAAACTCTACCAACTACCAAATGAATACTAATTTTTATGAAAGGTTCGCAACATAAGAAATGAATCTAAGAATTTTTCTTTAAATATGCTCTCAGTTTTTTAAAAAACAATAAAAATTAGACTTTCTTAAATGAATTTCAAGTTCTACTAAATAGATAAAAGGTTTTTTTTTAATATAAAAACGAATCCTGCCAAATTCATATATTAAGAAATTTTGAAGGGAACTCTCAAGGTTTTCATGAATTGAAACATCACAAAATAAATATTTCAGGTTACTTTTTAAAAGAACAAGGATGCATATATAGGAAAAATTTACAAGAAATTTTAACAGAGATAATGTGACTGAATTTTAACCATCCTCTAACCCTTAAATGTATAAATCCGTAAAAGTAAATTTCAATTATGGGCGGTTATAATTCATTTTTAATATACTTTTCTTACAAATTTTTCCTGTAACAATCATTACTCTTTTAAAATATATATATATATATATATATATTACAAATTTTGGGTGCATTACTCGCGATTCGATTCTCTCAAGCCCACATGACATTTCAGAGTATAACATGCAACAAGGCAATAAGCCACAGAACAACAACAACAATAATAATAAATCCAGAAACCCTTGTTTGAGATTCTCCTCCTAATTAATATTAGTAAGTCAAACTCATTAACTTCCCATCTCAACAAATAAGAGTTTTGTTTGTTTTAATATCACAAATAAAATTATCATTTTAGCGCTAAATGCGTATTACAGATGCATGCGTGTTCGATTGTTCTTCCTGAGTGTTGCACTTGCATGATTATTTGTCGCAGAGGAAACTATAACGGGTGAATCCGTGAGCCAGTTAGGATGGTTAGTCAGTGTGCGCTTAAATTTATTCAAATTTCATTCAAATTCATTTAGATTAATTGTCTTTCATTCGTTAGATGTTGAATTAATAAATCCTTATATATTACGGGAGGGGAATTCATGACCAATTGAGCATTCTGACTCAATTGAAAAATCTATCCAGACATGTATCAGATTGAAAGGAAACCGTAAAAAAAAATATTACTTCAAAATAGTAGTTAATAAATCGTACGAAATTTGAAGGTGAGATTTATTAAGATGTACATTAACCCGAATTAACAAAAATTAACTATTTGAATTTGAAACTATATCTATTCTAATAAATTAATTAACCATATCTTCAAATATCTACAAGATGAATAGGGATTTGTATTTTTTGGTTTGATTGTTTTTCACTTGGGCAGAGGAAAATAATTTTCTTTTTCTCCAGCAAGATAGTTAACCTTGCAAACACACCCCCACATGAAAACACGTATAAAATATTGTAATGTTCCAGTTCATAAAAAGGGTTCAACAGCAGCTTACAGATAGCTTTTGTTTTATACTTTTATTAGTAGTACTCTTTGTGCTCTCCGATCAATTCAAAAGTCAAATGCATCGATCTGCACTGGACACGTGCATGGAATTAGTGCATCCAAGGAAAATTACACCCAATCGGTAATTAATTTTCTGCTTGGATTAATTTTAATGAGTATATAGCATTAAGTTATATGGCATGAAGTAGCATGGATTAATTTTAATGAGTATATATATATATTATATATATAAATGGGGCATGAAATAGGTTGATCGATCCAGATTTTCTTGGGGTGATTTGATTCTTACAAACCCACATGGCATGTGCGTCAACAATAATTGAAGTTGTTGATGTAATAACGGGGTTTGGCCAGGTTAATGCCGGTAAAAGCATGTTGGGAGAGAGTTTTCACTTGGAAAAATGATTTGACCATATTGTTTAGCCGGAGCGCCGTCAACAAGATGGCAATCAGAAATAGAGAGGAATTAAGCCATAGTTAGAGCTTACAGTCAAACTCCCATTCCCAAACACCCGCACACCCCCGCCCCCACACCCCACCCCCGCGTAGCCCGTCCAAAAAAGTCCCAATTTCCCATTAATGGTAATACTAAAATCGGAAAAATAACAAGATAAAAAATTATAGAAGGGAAACAAAAAACAAAAAAAGAAAGAGAGAGAGAGAGAGATAGAGAGAGAGAAATTTACGGTGAAGGGGATAAAAGTGAAAAAAGGAGGAGCATTAGAGGTGGGGTTCATAGGTTAAATTAGATTTTTTTATTTTTTTGAATTTTTAATTTTCTAATTAATTATAAATCAATATAATATTTTAAATATTATTTGAATCAAAATTTATTTTTTCATTTTTAAAAAAAAAAAATTAAATTAAGCATTGTGGAAAATACGAGTTGATCCATAAATGGTCAACCTAAGAACCCCCAAATGTTAAGTCTCAAAAAAGGTAAAAAATGAACAAATTACTAAAAAATACAAATGTAATTGACCAAACCAGTGAATTATTAATGTTAAGAACCAAGTTAAAATTTTAAAAAAAAATATAAAAGACCATTTGAGCAGATTAATCATTAATATTAGATATAGATTAATGCAAGGGACAGCCTACTTAAAGAGGTGATATTTCTATGTTAAGATTTGCTTGTCCAATACCTTTCATGGATTTCGTGTAGCGAAAAATGTTATTACTTATTCTTTTGCAAAGTTTGCTAACACTTAATTTCAATGTAATCTAAATGTGTTCGAGTAATCTCTAAATATTATTTCTAACTTTATTTATCAGTTGGTACTGGATTCTATCCAGTAATTATTGATGCAAGTATGTATTTTTCAAAAGTAAATAGAATGCAACGGAGGTGGAACCCAGGGTAAGAGCTAGGAAGAAAATAAACTATAAAAGAGTTGAAGTGAATAAATAAATATGCAAAATTGGGAAAAGAAAACAGGAAGAACGTAACATGCAAGATACGCGATTCTTAATATTTTGTTTGAATTTCCTAAGTGGGATATTACTCAAGGGAAGTCTACCATTTTGATGTTTTTTTTTTTTTTTTGCTTAACAATTTGGTTAAATTTTCAAATCAAGAAAATTGGCTAATCAAAATGATCTAGCCAACTAGCCCCCAATCGATCGTGCATTCTCGTGCGCACTTCTGAAAGTCAACACCTGATTATGCCAACTAAGGGCGGGGTTGGAGGCATCACAATAAATTCTCAGACCATCAAACAAAAACAACATTAGCTTGAGTATTTATTAACTCAAGTGCTGAATAGAATTAAAATGATCCAAAACTGTATTATATTTAGGTAGGTAATGGGTGATTTGCTTAATTGCTCGTTAATGGGCTCGTTATTCGATGTGATGATATGATGATGGGAAAAACCACCCAATATTTAGCGCAAAAAAAAAAAAAAAAAACTCACGGAATCAGCCTCAAACTGTTGAATCATTTCGTTTTAGTCCTAACTTTAATTAGATCATGTGCTTCATTTTAGTTTCAAAGTGTCACTAAGAAGAAAAGGTTGTCGTTCCAATTAAGTATCACTGACAGTTTGCTAGGGATTGGAACTGTTTTACATACACAATTAACACACATAGCAAAAATAAAACAACCACAAGGTATACCAAGTTTGATCCTCAATAGTTCTAGTGTATGTTTCTTTGCCTAATGCCTAATATCTCTCATTCTCAATTCTATTTTTTCTCTTATCTCTCTGACAGTTACATTGTATTCTCTATTGATTTCAGTACAGATATGTTATGTTTACACTAAAACTTTAACTCACTGTACTAATAATGATCCCATCCCAAAAGGATTGAGATTTGAGGAGATAATCCAACAAAGTCTCCTTTTTTGCAACCAAAAAAAAAAAGAATCTTTTATTGAATTGTGCGTAATAATTGCCGGCGATAGTAATTTTTATTTACTGAATGTAGTTTTTTCTTTTCAATACAGAGTAACGAATGAGTTAAATAAGCTTAGAATAATACACCAAAAGAGGTCAGAGTAATGTTTAGGGACTTATATAACACTACAAGCGATATGACTCATATATGATAATCCCAATTCATATGTGTCGTTGATGGCTACATCTCAAAACTGATAAAAGTTAGTTGTAGGTTAGTGATCCGGTTGACTAAATTGTTAGTATAAACTTCTTTATTTACTTCTTGCATGTGTTAATTTGAGTTTCTCCGCTACATGATTTATGTGTTAATTATGGAGTAATTAAGTTTATTCTCAATCTTTAACGCACAACTATATCAAGAGTTAGATATTTCCCCCGTCCCATAATTATTGTCCAGTTTGGGTTTTTATTTTTAGTTCAAATTGTACTAAAAGTAAAATCTCAAACTGGATAATAATTTTAGGACAGAGGAAGTATATTGTAACTAGAGGCGGAGGGAAGGGGACCAGCCAGTGCGGCCGCGCCTCCTCCAATTTTAATTTTTTTAAAATTTATATATTTTTTATGTAGAAAAATAAATAAGATATGATTTTGGCACCCCTCCTAAATATTTTTAAACATGTATAGTAATTACAACGCTTTTTGTGAATCCAAAATCTATGTTGCATTTGTGTTAAATTTTTTTCAATAAAAAGCTAATATAAAAAAGTTTGCCAAAAAATATATGTTAGTTTATTTTTCAGTTTTAATTTTTAAATAATGAGAAAGACATAATAGTCATTGTTTTTCAATTGGGCTCATTCAACAAAAATAAAACTTAGCCTTAAAATAAAATTAAAAAAATATATAAAAAATCAAACCTCTGGCCCAATTTACATATATTTTTTACTTGGCCTAACTTTCTTTTATTTTTCTTTTTTCCTTTAAATAGACCAAGTTTTCAATTTATCAACTAAAATGGACCATTTCAGCAAACTTCAGTAAACAACCAAAAAGGGAAAACATTAATTTTATATTTTTATTTGTTTATTTTTTTTGTTAGTTTACGAAGCATTATCTTTTATCTCCTCTATTGTTTAAATCATATTTTCTCCGGTGCTAATTGTTAACATACGAGGTTAAATTTTAATTTTTTTTTAAGTTTTCCAATTTAAAATTTTATTATGATAATATCCCGTTGATGACTATTAAATGTGTGTATACATATTTTTTCTCTTTAACATTATAAAAACATATGCGATTGAAGCTGTACAACAAAAATTAATGAAAAATATAGTAAGTTTTAGTGCCATTTTGATGGTGTATTAGTTTTTAATTAAAAAATGCAAAAAAAAAAAATATCTTAAAAATAAAGATGAAATATACAATAACATGACTTTTAGTTGGAAAAAATAATATATAAAATATTTATAAAATGAAACAAGTTGGATGGGCATAGATTTCTTTTTTAATGAGAAAAATGGTAAATTTAACACTTATAGTTGTTTTAGTATATATAATACACTAATTCCGATAATTTTATTTTGCATCCCCTAACATAAAATTCTAGTTCCGCCCCTGATTGTAACTATGCTAATGTCACCTCACTCACAATCTTCTTTCATGGTAAATCTTTCGCGGTAGATACCATTTTTCATGTTTAAGTCATTATCCCAATTACTAAGCACGATTTTTATTTCGAAAACATTGATAAAGTTATTACCTTAAATAGAAGAGGCTATCTTTTTATTTTTTATTTTATTTTATTTTATTTTTTTGAGGGATTCAAAAAATGAATGAAATCTTGGAGACATAAGGTACTTTACAAAATACATAGGACTAAACTGAATTTTAACTCCTACCCATAAATACAGTAAGTATAGTAGACATGCTTTTTGGATAATCAACACAGTATATAAGTTTCATTTTTACTCTCATCTCAACACATATCTTGTTACCTCTATATAAGTAGACCAAGTTATAGACAGCAATTTGAAGCATCCCAACTAATAGAGCTATGGCCGGCAGAGAGGCCGTCACAGTACTGATGGTTCCTCTTCCGGCGCAGGGGCACCTGAACCCGCTCCTCCATCTCGCCCGCCTAATCGCATCGTACAACATTCCGGTCCATTATGTCAGCACCCCGCCCCACATTCGCCAGGCAAAGCTTCGGGTCCATGGATGGGATCCAGACTCCAGTTCCAACCTTCATTTCCACGGATTCCCCGTCCCTCCCCATGAAACACCCCCACCCGACCCGACTGCCTCCATCAAGTTCCCAACCCATTTAGTTCCCGCGGTACTGGCTGCGTCGGCTCATCTTCGGGAACCCGTTTCTCAACTCATGAAAACATTGTCCGACACAACACAAAGGTTAGTCGTCATTCATGATTCCTTGATAGCCTATGTTATCCAAGACATTGGTCTGATTCCCAACGCGGAATCCTACTGCTTCTCCGTGTACTCCGCGTTCTTTACCTACTCTTTTGCGTGGGGACTTGGCGGGAAACCCGAAGGGGTTCCTGAACTCCAACTCCTCAAAACTCTGCCAAACCTCAGTTTCCCACAAGATTTCTTAAAATTCATGCTTTTACAACTTGGAACCAAAATAACCAGCTCCGGCACCCTCCTCAATTCCTGCGCCGCGATAGACGGCCCGTTTCTTGACTACCGTTGTAAGTTTAAGAGTTTCGGGTCGGAAAAGTTTTGGGCTGTTGGTCCGTTGCATCCCGTTCGTCATGATGAAGCCGATCAAGGAGGGCCACGAGGGAGACATTACTGTCTTGACTGGCTCGATAAGCAAGCTCCCAACTCGGTTTTGTTCGTGGCATTTGGTTCTTCCATTACGTTTTCAGATGAAGAGATCAAGGAGATGGCGATAGGGTTGGAGAAAAGCGAGCAAAAGTTTGTATGGGTTCTTAGGGATGCGGATAAAGGGGATTTGTTTAAAGACGACGCCGGTGGCGGTGATCAGGTTAAACAAGAAGTAAGGCAAGTTCAATGGCTAGAAGGGTTTGAGAGTAGAATTAAGGAAACGAACAAAGGGATAATTGTGAGGGATTGGGCGCCTCAGTTGGAAATTCTTTCACATTCATCAACTGGTGGATTCTTGAGTCCCTGTGGATGGAATTCGTGCATGGAAACCCTTAGCCACGGCGTCCCGGTCATTGCTTGGCCCATGCATACAGAGCAGCCCATAAATGCTGTGTTATTGACAAAGGTTTTGAAAGTTGGTCTTCCCATCCTACCAGAATTTTCATCATCGGATCCTCAAAATGAAGAAACTCAGATAAAATCGAAAGATATTGAAAATGCTGTGAGAACGCTGATGGATTCTGAGGAGGGAGACCAGATGAGGCAAAGGGCACAACAAGTGAGTACAGCATTGAAAGCATCTCTCATGGACAATGGAACTCCATTGGGGGTGGACTCTTTTGTTTCTCACATTCGCAGATAATTTCCAACACAAAGAGTACTGTCTTTTGTGTGTTATATTATCTTAATTAATTCAACCCACAAAACTCTTATTTTCAGACCCCCACCTATTTGTTTGTCAAATCTCAATGTTTGTCATTTTCTATCTTTTTTGTTAAATTTTTCTTTCTATGTTTTTAAATCAGTTTCTCTGTTGAGAAAGTGAGGGGAATTCCGGTCAGCAATTAAGTTGATCCTGAGTTTATCTGTTCTCAATGATTTATGTTAGAGTATTATACACTAATTTTTTCTGTTGTTTTTCTTTTCACCTGAAACAATAACTTGTCTTCCTCATCCAGAGTCGTCGTTATAGTCCAATTCTAATTGACCCAAAAATTCAATTAATCTTAATAGTCATACTGTATATAGTTTCAACGAATCACTATTGTGTGGTACCGGATCCACAACTTAAAAATGGTGAAGTCCTTATTTCTAAGCATCGCTGCGTGAAAAATGCATGCTTAGTTAAAGAGTAATGATCAGAAAAAATAAACTACAAATCCATCAAAATTAATTAGAATGAAACTTTATTGTTCTTACATGAACATGATTAACAGTTACCAAAAAGTCCATCATTTTGTTGAATAAAATGAGCATCGCATCTAAATTGAATTCCGTAATTTTTCAAACAATAGATGTCGAACTCACTAAAATGTTTTTGAAAATTACAATACTACTAAAAGTCCATCGTTTTAACACAAGAACTCCATCATCAGACAATTGGAATTCTATGTTTTCAACAAAACTCCCTCATCAAAAAAATTGGAAATCCATCATTTCACCACAATAACTCCATCATTAGGAAATTATGTTTGTTTGTTTTTTTTTTTAATAGAATGAAGTCAACACTACCGCATCCAATCCTAAAATTAAACAATTCTAGTCTATCCAATCAAAATCTCACTTGTTTTCAGACTAAAGTATAAGGTGTTCTTTCTTGCGTTAATATTGATTATATATATAATTAAAGGTGCATGGCATAATTTTTTTTTCCTGAACGGTCCGGACGTCCTGAGAGTCAGGCGATGTCCCCTCGAACTTGGAGAGATCTGATAAAAAGAATTCAAGTTGATAAAGAAATATTCCAACATCTTCGAGTTGATGAATCAAGTTGCATTGCACATGCATATCATCCAGCAGTTTCTGGTTGTATACCCCCAAAAACACTCACCATAAGAGTTAGATCTGTAAATTAGTATAATTTTCTGTTTTTGAAAGGTCACCTTCTATATCATAATAATGCTTTTCATTAATGTTCATTATAAACATTTAAACTATATAACATGAGTGGGATTTGATAATGTTATCATTGAGGGAGATCCCGCACTTACACGTCTCTTTCCGCTCGTCAAATCAGTGCTTCAAAGCCTTCCTGAAAATATCACTCCCTCCATCTCAAATTTATTTTATAATTTAAATTTTTATTTTTAGTATAAATTAAACGAAAAATAAAATTACTGTTAAAAAAGAGACCTTAGAATGCGGTCGGTAGAAATCACCACAGGATTGCCTTTGAGTTTTTGCCACTAGAACAATATCCACTTTCCCTTATCATAATACTTGATTCATAATCTGTCAAAAATTATACTTGTCATATTCCAATTCAATAGTTCAGATTTCACAAAATATAAAACAAACGATGAACCAGAATGAGAGAAGTCAACAAGGAATCCCTGCACATGTAAACACGTTCGAGATTTTCAATCATTTTTACTACCATCTTGTTGTTGTTGGTCGTGATAGAGTGAAAAAGAAGTCTGTTATGGGTACAGAGTGATCTTGACTTTTTTTATATCATATTTCTTATCCATCGAAATATTTATAATTGAGTATACGGATTAGTCACTGTTACCAAAAAAAAATGTGAGATCAAAATATGACCATCGGTGATAGCAAATCAGCGAAAATATGAAGATTATTTAAAACACCTTGATTAAAGAAAAACTGTTTTGACGAAGAAGACAAAAGTGAAAGAAAACTGAACTATTCTTTTTCTATTATCTTGATCGTAACTTTTGAGTACACAGAACTATCATATATATAGACTATTGCTAGACTTGAAGCTTTCCTAATAACTACTAATAAGACTTTCACTATAACAGAAAGTAGTAATCGTAATCTGATGATAGTTTGCTGTGATTGAGGATAATAGATAAACTCAAGTGAATTACACTTTAACAGACTTGTTACTAAGTAAATTTATCTCTTGATCAGGCTAAGTATTTGACGCCTTATGCCTACAATCATCCTTATCACCCCTAATACTCATGGACTCAGATTGTGATGCTTTAATAAAATCCATATTCCCCGACAAAATGGGGAACTAAGCAACAACACAAAACAGGATTTTTCCCTGAAGTTCACTTGTTCTTGTCAGCTCCCAACCACTGTAGCTGCTGAAAACAGTTTACCATATAGCTTCTCACATGTCTAGTTTAACTCTTCAATCATCATCATCTTCCTCATCATCCACTCAAACAACAGCAAAAAGCTTATGGCCCTTCACTTTTCTCATTGCACTGGCATTATCCGCAGCTGTTATCTATCAGCTCGACTCCTTCGATTTCGCCGTGCCGACTCTGAAAGGTAACACCACAGTCGCAGTACCGGAAATAAACATCCACATCCTTAAAGGATGGGAAAAAGTTGGACTTGGTAGATTGTGGGCACCCGAAGACATAGCTTATGACCCAAATGCCAGAGTGATATATACCGGTTGTGGGGATGGGTGGATAAAACGGGTCACGGTGAATGATTCAGCCGCTGACTCGGTGGTTGAGGATTGGGTTAATACCGGCGGCCGTCCTCTAGGAATTGTACGCGGACTTGAGGGAGAAGTTATCGTTGCTGATGCTGATAAGGTCAGTACATACTCTGTTTTCCTCTGTTTTTCCTCTGTTTTTACTCTGAACTTTGGGATCAATACTCTGTTTTTTCTCTGTTTTTACTCTGAACTTTGGGATCAAAGAAGTTGATCATCATGATTCATTCTTGAATATATGTTTTTCAGGGATTGTTGAAAGTGAGTTCAGACAGGGGAATCCAATTATTAACAGATGAAGCAGAGGGTCTAAAATTTGGACTAACAGATGGTGTAGATATTGCTGAGAATGGGGTGATTTATTTCACTGATGCTTCTTACAAGTACAGTTTCAGGGAATTCACTTTGGATCTTCTTGAGGGTAAACCTCATGGAAGATTCATGAGTTATGATCCAGCCACTAAGAAAACTAAAGTGCTTGCCCGAGACCTTTACTTTGCTAATGGAGTGTCTGTCTCCCCTGATCAACAATTTGTCATCTTCTGTGAAACCCCTTTGTAAGTAATCTCTTTCACTCATTCCATTCCTGTTTACAAAACGAATTTCTTGATTTGGTTTCAATTTCAATTGTAGATTCATTTGTAAGAGATACTACATAAATGGCGAGAAAAATGGATCAGTGGAAATATTTATCGATAACATCCCTGGAATGCCTGATAACATTCGGTACGATGGGGAGGGACAATTCTGGATTGCTTTAACCTCGGTAAGTTGAAATGATATTCAAAACCTTTTTACAACTTTAACAATTACTCCCTCCGTCCCAAGTTTGGATTTTCATTTTTAGTTTAAATTATACTAAAACTAAAAGTGCAAACTGGACAATAATTTTGGGACGCATGGAGTACTACTGAAAGCCCTGAAACTTTTGACCGTCTCTTCTTGCTCTGGGTCTGTGCACAAAAAAAACAAAAAAAAACAGGGAGTTACATATGTTCGGAGGCTGGCACAACGATATCCCTTCATCCGGAAGATTGCAGGGTTGATGGAGAAGTATGTAGGCCTCCCAAATCAGGGGTACAGTGGAGGTGTATTGGCTGCTGATTTGGAAGGGAAACCTACTTTACATTACTACGATCAAGATTTGTTCCTCACTTCAGGTGTTACTAAGATTGGAGACCATCTGTATCTTGGTTCAATAAATAAACCTTACATACTTCGTCTCAACATCAAGGACAAAGAGAGTCAGTAATCAGCACTACTACATAGGTGAGATATTGATTCGGGATCGCTGTAAAATTTGATTATTCATTGATTTTCGACATTGAAAAAATTAAAAAGAAAAATGAAAAAAAAAAAAAAAAATCCCTCCCTAGTTCTTCTGAAGTCCAGCAATTTTCATCAGTCATGAGCTCATTGGACGATTTGCATGAAATAAATTCTCCAAACAATAAAAAAATGTGGAAACTGCGGACCTATAAATCCGGGCTTTTCCCCAAAAAAAATTAAATAAAATAAACGTGGACAAAATTAAATTTTTCAGAATATCTGTGGATAGAAATATATTGCTCGGATTTCTGAAATCCGAGTGTTGATTAATATTAGAGATTCGGATTTTGTAAATCCGAATCCATACTTAATAATAAAATAATAATTTCATAAATTTTGTTGAATAATAGTTTTTTTAGTTCTTTAGTGAACAGTAAAGCTCGGATTTGTAGAATCCGAGTTTAGTTAAAAATTAATAAATCGCGGCGCGAAATTTTTGAACCCAAAAAACCGGAAGTCCGTAATCCGGTTTGACGAATTCGGATTTTAGAAATCCGGATGCCTTTAATTTTGGTTGGTGGAAGTAGGCATGTGCCTTAAATTGGAGGACCAACAAATTAATAAAATAATCCTGAATTGACTAAACTCGGATTTATGAAATCCGAATCTAACACAGTTCGGATTTCGAAAATCCGAGTTATTTACGGACTCGGATTTCGTAAATCCGAGTTTAACGTGCTATAAAAGAAAAAAATTTCAGCGGTTCTCATTCGAGAACCGAGTTGGATTTTCTGTTTTGCGGCTCAAACAAGGGCGAATTGAAGTTTTTGATGCATTCTTGCCTCTAGATACGTGGAAATCGTTATTTGAAAGAGGTTAGATTGCAAAACCATGTTATTTAGTTTATTTTTGTGTTATTTTGATTGTTAGAATGATGTATGATAGATTAGGGTTTATGTTGGTTGGTTGTTTGGATGTTTTAGGTGTTGATTTTGAGGTTAGAGATGAGAAATCATAGTTCATGAGATATCGAAGTTGATTTATAAGTATTTTAGTATGGTGTATTTGTTGGAGTATGTATGGTGTATGGTGTATGGTGTATTTTAGAGAATGTATGGTGTATTTTGTTGATTTTGTTATTAAGAAATGATTAGTTATTGATGTTTTTTTTAACAGTTATCAATGGCACGTAATGTATCATACATGCTTAATTTGTATCATACAAGTAAGTATGTGATAGAGAACGGTAGCATCAACACTTTTTCGAATATACCGGATGATGGTTTGTTTGTCGAAGAAAGGTTGTCATATGAGGGATTGATTAGTAAGATTTGTATGACCCTTGGTTGGGATCCAAGACACGTGAAACTCCACCTTTCTTTGATTTTCGATAGTCCCGGTGGTAGGCGTGTAGTGAAGATCAAGAATGATTCGCATGTAGAGTTCATGAACCGTGTAGATCCAATGTCATGTTTGGATTTATACATAGATTTGGAAGATATCACTCAAGAAGAAAGAGAAGCGAGTTTGGAAAACGTGTCATTTGGTGATTTTCGAAGGGGGGAACGTGCTAGTACTTCTCGAAACCGTGATGAAGAGGAGACACCTTTATTTGCACAAAATGACTACCGGGAAGAGTTGGATTCCGACTACATAGCTCCAAGTGAAAGCGAAGAAGACGTGATGTCTCCGGAGAGAGTGATTTTGAAGAAAGTGATGATGAAAGGTTGGAAAATGAGGAAAGGGATTGTAATCTATTCGCCCGACGCCATGTATATAGTAAGATGGGGAACTGGGATGCCTCATGTGTAGACAAGGATGAGTTTGCTCTTAAGATGTGGGATGAGACGCCCGAAGGAATGGACATTGGTGTTTGTTTCAAATCTCAATCGAAGCAAAGCATCTTTGTGAAATTATGGAATATCCATCATAAAAGGGAATATACGGTCGCCGCGAGTAGTCCAAGGACGTGGGGTCATGCGGTGCGGAACATTTAATGTGGAAAGTGAGGATGGTGAACCACCATGTGAGTGGAAGATGCGTGTGTCATTGAAAGCTCACGGCCTTCATGAAATTGTGAGATGGCATGATGCACATAATTGCATGACTCCTGTGAATGATAATGACAATCGGTGTGTGGACGCGTCTTTGATTGCTAGACTCATCGGAGAAAGGTTGAGGACAACGTAGATTATACGGTAGCCTCGGCACGAAAAGATGTGAAGACCTTATTGAAAGTAGATGTGCCATACAAAAGGGCGTGGCACGGGAGGAGGAAAGCCATAGAAGCGGTTTATGGTGATTGGACCTCCAATTTCGAAGAACTTCCACGGTAAATATCAACTTTTATCCGTGTATTGAAATATTTATAGTATTTTTATTTTTACATGTATTGAAATATTTTAACAATGACTTGTTGTTGTTTAGGTATATCGCTGCACTTAAGTTTACTAATCCACGAGGCTGTAGTAGTGTGGGAATGGAAGGAGGGACAAGAAGGTTGGAACAGGGAAACCGGACATTTAAATACGTCTTCGGTCATTTGCACCGTGGTGAGACGTTTTTGAATGTCCACCGGTCATTTGTATCGATGGAACCTTTTGCGTGGTGGATACAAGGGTAAATTGCTTGTTGCGGTGGTGTATACCGCAAACAAGCACATTTTACCGTTGCATTTGCGATTGTTGATGAGGAGACAGAGAGAGTTGGACATTTTTATGAGGAATTTGAGGTTGTGGGTTGTGTATGATAGAATCGTAAGTGTGATATCCGACCGGAATGCGGGGTTGTTGAGCGCAATGTCACGAGATGGATGAATGGCGTGATTTAGGTGATGGTGGGCACTTTCTTTGCCTCCGCCACGTTCGCAGCAATCTTGTGTCGCGATATAATAGCAAAAAGGTGAAGCGGTTATGTTGGAAGATGGGCACGACACTTTCAAGAGTGAAATACAACCGTATGAGGCGAGCTTATTGAATTCAAACCTGTTGCATGGGAGTATCTTCGAGGATTGGGGAGTAATCGGGCTCGATTGAAAGCTGGTCTTCGCCGTTGGGGCATAGCGACAACCAACATTTCGAGAGTTACAACAATGCGTTGAAAGGGATCCGTTTTTACCAATTAGAGCCTTGATCGATGCAACCTTTCGCAAAGCTGTTAAATTCTATAGAGAAGAACAATTGTCTGCGAGAAATTGCATGACACCGATCCCTCCTGAGTTATGGAAAAAATACGAGAAAATGAATGATAAAGCAGCCGGTTTTGAAGCCACCCCTTTCGATGGTGATGATGTTATGTGGCGTGTTGTTACTGCCACACGCCTAAGTGGCAGGGGTGGGTCTCTGCATACGGTGAACTACGATGAACATAGGTGTTCGTGCAGGAAGTGGCAAGAGTACCGGATGCCTTGTACGCATGCACTCCAAGTTTGTCGGAGAAAAGGGGATCGGCCTATTGATCTATACCATAGTGTGTGGCGCCTTCCAACGTGGCGCAGACAATTTCATTACACGGGCTTTGTTCGGTTCCCGATGAGGAACAATGGCCGATGGTCAATGGAACATCATTCGAATTATGAGCGTCTTGTGTTGCATGCGGGACCGGGACGAAGACAAAAAGGAGACATAGAATGCAAATGGATTACGGGGATGCCGGAGCCGGGGGGAATGTTGGAGATGTGGACAACTAGGTCATGATGCCAATTCATGTCCGTTCTCGCACCCAGGAGTAGATAGAAGACCTGTGAATGACAGCTGGAATTGAGTGTAATTTACTGTTCTTGCAAGTTATTTAGTGTTTGATAAATTTATGTGAACATTGATAAATTCGGATTGTAATGTGAACATTGAATTTTTCGGATTGTAAAGTGTGATGAAATATGTACTATTTTTCATAATCAAAATCGGATTGTGCAAAATACTCATCATTGTAAGGTTTTGTGAAGAATTCGGATTTCAGAAATCCGAGCTCAGAGTTATATAAGGTTTTGGGCGTTATATAAAAATACGGCCCCGGAGGTTAAGGAAGTCATTAGGAGAGCCGGTTTTGAGGGGATCATGAAGGTAGGGTACAAAAGAGTTGATCTAGGCCTCATTACCGCGTTGGTGGAACGGTGGAGGCCAGAAACCCACACTTTCCATTTTAATTTCGGAGAGGCGACGGTGACGCTACAGGACGTCGAGGTCCTGTTTGGTATTCGGTGGATGGTGACCGGTGTACGGCACGACAGCTTAGCCGGACTGCAGATGAATGGAGGGATCGATGTGAGGCTTATTTGGGATTCCGGCCAGCGATTGTAAATGGCCAATGTGTCAATGTTGGTATTTTCGAAGATGAGATGGGCCGTGCACTACCTTCAAATTCCACTGTCCATCGATTCGAGCAAAGGGCCAGGACACTTATACCGCATTTTATTAGCGGTTTCATGTTTCCGAACAAGACGCGTAACACCGTCAATCTACGGTTCTTGGCCCAGTTGAGGATTTGGATCGGTGTAGTCGATACGGTTGGGGATCGGCACTGCTTGGCCGGGTTGTACTCTGGCCTATGCGAGGCATCACAGTATACCATGCACGACGCCACTGGGTGTCTATATTTGCTACAGGTACGTATTAGTTTTCATATTGTGCTTTAATTATTTTGCGCTTTCGACGTTATAATTTGAAGTTTCTACATTATTATTGCAATTTACTAGGTATGGGCGTATGAGCGGATCGAGATGATCGCGCCCCAAAGAAAAGGAGTAGATTATTTGCTTGATGAGACCGCTCCATTAGCTCAGCGGTACGTATTTTCAGTTCAAAATAACTCAACGTTTAATTCTATTTGTTTCTTATTCATTTATTTCACTAATTCAAATGTACCCCTTTGTTTATTAAGGTGGGAATGTAGGTACACGTACGGCGACGCCCCAAGGAGCAAGACTCCACCGTTTAGAGATCAATTAACAAGCTGCGTGTTGAAGATGTAAGTACTTGTAATTTGGTATTTATATTTACTTTGAGATCAATTACCCCTTTCTTTTGGTTTCGGTTGTACCATCTAATGAAATTTTTTTCGTGCAGTTTCGGTGGCAACCATATGCACATGTCCTCCATAGACTCCCTGATTTCTGTACACAAGGCCAAGCCATTTGGACGACTAGGTGTTGGATGTTCTGTTGGGCTATTAGGGAACCCCACGAGTCGGGCAGAGTCGTAAGACAATTTGGATACATACAGGATGTTCCCAAGCGCCCCATGATTAAAGATAACGCAGCATTTCTTCTCGATCACGCCCACGGTATGTCCGGTATCCTAGCAATAATTGGGAGGATCACCATTCCGCAATGCGCCGTCATTGGAATAGGAGAGAAGAGTTCGTGCTACGAGATTTGGAGGAAGGAGATCCCAGTTACGTATATGAGGGTACTATGAATGGTTTATGGTGAACACTGTCGATTGATATCCAATCCCGTAATTATGAACCTCAAGGATACGAGACTTCTTCGAGCCGCGTGAAATTATATGTGAGTTAATTGTAGATTTCTTTTATTATTTCTTATGTTTCCATTTTTTTCATTTTTTTAGAACTTTACTCTCTTAATTAACGTCCCAATTTCTTTTCGGGTGAAGTATTGAACAACATTCGCGTGAGTACCGAGAGGTTTAGAGAAAACGAGAAGATGATAATCTCCTAGACGAAGAACTTGACAAGCATTTGGACGATATCATCAATCAAACACATGCCGCCTTAACCTTGGCGCAAATGATGAGATGGAGGCGGATGATACCCAAATCTGGTTGATGAAGATCCATTTTTTCCTCACAACCTCCGCCGGGTAAAAGCGAAACCGTGGTCAAGAGATAAGATTGGAGGAGGAAGAAAGAGAAAGGTCACAATCCCCCTCGGACATCGCAACAACAAACCGAGGTCAACAAAATGAGGATCAAGCACATTCCTCTCGAGGCTCGCGCATCCAGTCGAGACTCATTTTGAAGAAGTTGGTGGACCCGAGACTCGGTTTGACATTGGTGGACCCGAGACTCGGTTTGACATTGGTGGACTCGAGACTCGGTTTGGTGGACGATGCAACCACAACCGGAGTCAAATTTATCACCATGGGGAGTCCCAATCTCAACCCCAAATCGAGGCTCGGTTTGGTGGACAATGCAACCACACCAAAGTTCAATACTCACATATCTTAAGAGGGAGACAGGATCCGACAGGCCCAAACAAATACACTCGGATGCGCATAATAAAGGAAAAGGGAAAAAATGAGACATTTCATTATTTTGGACATTTATTGTAGTTTTTGTATTGAACTTTTTATGAAACTTGATTTATTTTGTTGTTAATTGAATGCCGTTTATTGTTTTGTTGTTATTAAATTCCTATTTTCCAATGTTTCATTGTTGTTGGTCTTTGTAAACATGTTTAGAACTGGTGAAAATCACCCAATTTTTTTCGTTCGACAAAGACCGGATTTGCGAAATCCGAACCCAGACTTTTCTAAAGGATTCGGATTTCGAAATCCGAGTCCGTGGCCAACCGGGAGTCGCCATTTTTCGAAAACAGAGCAGATTCGGATTTGTAATCCGAGTTCTGCCCGAATTTAATTTTTCAACACATTTTTTTTATAGTATCCGGAAATTAATATTTTATTCATAAAATCGGATTTAGATTAATTACACTAATTTTTGTCATTAACTTAATTTCAGATTTACGTAATACAAAGTCGGATTTTAATAATCCGAGTTTAGTTGGGGTCGGATTTCCGAAATCCGAGTTTTCCCCCCATTCGGATTTCCTAAATCCGGGGCATATAAATTTGTCCACAAGGTTTTAAAAAGTTTTATTTTTGTCTAGGTTTTTTTTTTTACATATATTTAAGGAAAAAATTCCTATAAATCCTGTCTCATCATTTCTTTTTCTTAACCCCCATAAAAAGAAAAAGATAAATGATTTATAATCACATAATATGAAGCTCCTTATTAGCAACCATTCCATTTCAACAACACATCACACAGCTTATGCAAAGAATTCGAGACACATCATCCACTCCCACACGACAGAATATCACATTCGGATAACAGAAACTAGAAAAACGGAAATGTGTTCTGAAATTATGATTAGATAATAATAATAAAGCTAAACCATAAGAATTAATCTGATTCCGCATTCAAATAACCCTGACAAAATTGTTGACTCAATGTAGTTTTTGTCTCCAAAAGAAATTGTTGTATGGGCACAGAGAAGAAGCACCAAACTATGAAAATGTTCCGACTCAAACTCTAAAGCCACGGCTATTCCTTCTTCCTCTAGCTCTCTCAAATTTCCTACCCTTGGACCTAAGATATGGTTTGGTGTGACTATGTGGTACACCAGGAGCTGGTCCAAAATGCTTGACCGCCTCACGAGCATTCTTTGGACCTCTTAGGAGCACCTGCAATTGAGAATACAAAGACATAAAAATCAATAAAAATGCAGGAAACCTAACTGTGCGAAGAATTGTTTTCTTTAGTTAGAAGATCCTTGTCATATTAACTTAAATTTCTTCAACCAATCACCTGTTAATACAGCATGAATGAGAGACTGCTATTTATATGACAAAATACTATTACAAAAGAGTCCCATGCGCCAAGGCACTGGACCAAGAACTATATTACAAGAAATCAAGCTAAGCTGAAAGGGGATATTTAAATTTGTATACCGTGCTCTGACCGAGGGGAGCCCTAAGAGCCAACTGATCAAAAGTCAAACACTCTCCTCCAGCATTCTCAATCCTTGTTCTTGCTTGTTCCGTGAACCTCAGAGCAGCGACTGTCAATTTCGGCACTTCATAAGCTCTGTTATCATTAGTCACTGTTCCTACAAGCACGGCAATTTTGTCCTCCTGAATGGAGAATAGAAAGATGGAACTCATATCACTATCATCTGTTTCCACAAATCAATATTAATTACAGCAATTTGCAGAATGAATAAGTGCATTGCTTCCTATACAAAAATGTGGCAAGAAAATGATGCATCAATAAAGACATCTGTAGTTTCTCAGAGGCTCCTTAGAATCAAACATTTACAATTACATTTATGAAAAACAAAGCTTATTCAGAGCATTAATCATAAGTACGTGCATCCTTTTTAGTTAGCCAAAAATACAAGTTATCAATGAACCATCATCTGTGAAACTAAACATAATAAATCCCAACAGACAGCTCAAAGCATAAAACATAATACGGTACCATAGCCAAAGTCAAATCGATGAAAATGTAACGAATAAAAGAAACCGTGGAAATAAGAGTAAACTAACTACTCAATATAATCAATAATCAATTGAGATCAATCAAAATGTCTGATCAGGTGTGTACCTTTCCTTTCATGTAGCTAACAAGCCTGGAAAGAGACATAGGAGGCTTATTGATCTTGCTCATGAACAGCCTCTTCAGTATCACCGCATTAAACTTGCTCTCGGTCCTCCTTGACAAAAACCGATACAACTGTAAAATCCCAAAAACCCCACAACATATCAGTTCAAATAAACCAACCTATGATCACCCATCACTCAAGTTCATGCGCATCATCACAAAATCAAGTCTTTCAAACAACCTATATTCTTCAAATCCTTAAAATCTCTACGACAAGGTACATCCTAAAGCACAAAATCAAACTCAATCCACACTAATTCTCAACTCAAAACTCTGCCTTAATTTATATCATTACACTCACTGATAAGGCAGAACATGAAATTCTTCTTTAACAGCTAGGAATTGAAAGAATATCAAGTACATATTAAAAAATAAAAATGAAAAAGAAAATATAAAAAATAAAACAGCGCACCTTGACGAGGAGCTTAAGGTAGACATCCTCGGACTTAGGAGCAGTACGCTTTGTCTTCTTGCTTTTGCCTCCCGCTTTCAAATCGATACCCTAATTTCCATCAATGCAAACGGATAATTTCAAAATCATTGATTCAAAATCCACAAGATTCACTTAAACAAACAGAAGCAAGAAAGAGGAAATTGTAGTCGGAGATATAATTACCATGGTTCCGGCCGCCGACTAGGTGGAGCTTTACTGATAAAGTGAGGCCGCGGCTAATTGTGGCTGAAGAAGAGAAGATGCTGTGAAGGGGTTTTCTCAGAGCTACTATAGTGGGAGTAGGGTTTTCGTTTGAGCATGACCAATTAAAACTTGACGCGTGTACTCATTTTCCTAGCTTTTTCTAATTTGGTTCGCAGAATTTTTATAGTGAATCAAATTATGTTCTTAGGATTTTTTATTTTATAAGAAAATGACATTTAATTTCGAGTTTTTGGACTAGACATGATTATATTTTTCTTTTTCAATCTCAAGAATAATCTTCTATATGTATAGTACTTAATTAAAGCAGTAAATGAAAAAGACATGTGTCAGCACCACAATGAAAATTTTTCCACCAAAAACTATTTTCAGTACAAAATTATTTTTGACCCGTGGCACTCTAACTAATCAGAAAAAAAAGATGGAATAGATAAATACATAAATTCCTTAATTATAATTACATAAAAATCTATTTTTATTATAAGTATATACTAATCTCTTAAAACAATAATATTTAATTGATAAAATCAAATGTAAGGAAATCTCCTTAAATCAAGTGAAACACCAGTAATGTCTTCCCAATCCCCAATTTTAAAAAATCTCTTCCGTTCTGCTCCTCTCTCACACTCGGGCCTTTAAATCAATTACTTAAAATCTGACATTAATTATCAATCCATCTCTTTCTACAACAGAGAAAAGATAAGCTGTCATGAAAAAAATTTGATATTTTAAGGATGATTTTTTTTTATTCTTTTGTTGTAGATATTGGTTTATGATTTATGTAAACCCAGGCATAAGTTAACTGTTGTAAATTAAATGTTATAAATTTGGGCATAGATTTATGTGTTCACTTTCTGTCCTTTCAATCGATTTTTTATTCTTCTATTTTTTTTTATTCTTTTAAGAATGATTCGTATTTTTTATTTAATCGATTTAAAAATACAGGCGGTACCCCGGGCATTCGCCCGAGGCAAGTATCTAGTACTATACTAAGGCAAAAATCAGAGAGAGAAATCTAAAGTTAAGAAGCACATGTCACATAGGATTTTATCCTATGTGGTATTTTCTTAATTTTTTAGATATAAAAATGCACAAAACAAAACAATAAAAACAAAAAAAAATATTAATATACTACGGCAAAAACCAGAGAGTGAAATCTAAAGTTAAGGAGCACATGCCACATAGGATAAAATCTTATGTGACATTCTTAATTTCTTAGATATAAAAATGTACAAAACAAAACAATAAAACCCCCCAAAAAAAAAAACGCAACTGAAAAAGTCCAAACCCTATATTGATTCGACCAAATCCCTGCAAATCCGATGGATGGATCTCTTCCTCCTAAAAAAAAACGCAACTGAAAAAGAATTTTATATTAATAATTTATTAAAATAATTAAAGAAGTTAGGCCAACCTGAAACTTCTATAATTCAGCTTCAAATATGGAATTGCGTTAAAATACTATGGTGATGGGTTGATGTAACGGGGCTAAGAAATCAAAAGTCACTCTGGAACAAGGAATAAAGGTCCTGATATCCAACTTTTTTTATTTTTTTTATTTTTCTTATTAAAAAATTAGATGGCCTCTACAACAAGTTAGGGTTGTTGTTTCTGTAGTAACCATTCTTTATCATAAACCTTTTCAAAAAAAAATAAAATAAAATTCTTCATCATAATTTCTTAACCACCCTAACCGACCTTTCCACCCCAAACTACCAATGTAGTCTACCAAGAAATATTACAAGACATATAATTATTTAATTCAAAGTTCATTTTTTTTAATTTCTTAACAATCTTTTTTGCGTTAAATAAATTACCAATGTTCGTTTGGTAAAGTATTGTCGATATTTGTATTTTATATTTTTTAATGAATTCATTATATATTTTATAAAAATACAAAAATTAATACAAATATTAATATATTTTTTTATTTGTTTGTGTAGTAATGTTTATGTATATGTGCTCCCCGTCCATCGGATCGGTCTAACACCTAGTAATAATAGTGAAATACTTGTATTATTTTCTCTGTCAAAAAAAAAAAAAAATCCATAATAAACTGCTTCTATGATTCTGTCATTTTTTTTAAAATGATAATACACTTCAAAACCTATTCTCCATTGAATCATTTCTCCAATTAAAACTTGACTTTCAGGGGAAAACCTAGTTCATGTAATATCTCTAAAATTAACTTTTGGACGATTTATCGAATCTTCAAGTTCTTTTGAATACTTTACTTGAAAGACGAGATGAGTAATGTTGCTTGCGTTAAATGGTACTCCCTCCGAACCTTATTATAAGGCAATTTATACTCCCTCCGAACCTTATTATAAGGCGTTTTGATTTCGTCATATGTTTCACCTAAGATGCCTTTTTAATTGAAATGAAAACCTTAAAAACATTTCATAATAATTAAGAGAATACAACGAATGTGAAAATATATTTTTAAAATTTTTTTCCAATTAAAAAGGCATCATATATTAAACCTAAGACGAAATCAAAATGTCTTATAATAAGAACCGAAAGGAGTACTAGTTAAATATTTTTTTCATCAAAGATCCAATTGAAATTATAAGGACTACATTCGTTCGAATCAAGAACTTGGAGGTCTCAAACCGCTGAGTCTTCAAATATTGACTACATGTTTGCAACTAATGGGAGTCGAGTTTTCTTTCACTGGATGAAAGTAAAGAAAGGCCATTTCCTAGGGTTGATACCTGCATCTTTGTAGATCAAAGCCCAACTTTAAAAATTAAAAGCATAAAACTAAAGAGGCAAGTAATGGATGACTAGCAAATGGGCTTCGTTCCTCATCAATTTCAAGCCAGTCCAGTTAACGGCGCAATTATATCAAGTGCAACATCAATAGTTCTGGTTTTTCAATATAAAGCTTCCATTCATTGCAGAATTTTGCCACCGTAGCTCCATCTAGTACTCTATGATCAGCACCAATATTTACCTGAAATGATACAGAAAACACCACATCAGCCAGGATCTGTACAGACATTAAGACTTCCTATAATTTGGCAATGAAAATGTAAAAATTTGGATCGCAGGAATAGAAAACGGTGCAACGGAAATTTAGGCCATTGCTTGATCATTTCACATTCTGGTGGAAGGGTCTACGCAGCACATGGAATTTGTTCACGGGGTGAAGAAACATGTACGATGTATAATAATTCATGCCAAGAAAACTTAATTAGAGCTACATACAGTTAGCACAGACGAAGGTTTTACAGTCCCGTCATCATTGAAGTGAGGCACTTTCTGAATGCGGCCTAGTGCAATGATGCAAACCTCAGAAACATTCACCAGTGGGGAACCAAACTTTCCGCCGATTGCTCCAATGTTACTCAAGGTTATAGTTCCACCAGATATATCATCAGGATTGAGCTTATTAGCTAAAGCCAGTTGTTGAAGCCGTGATAGTTCTTTAGTTATCTGTATAAAAACCAAGGATGGCAAACCAAAAAAATCAATTTCACATGTTCAATTGACTTAAGCAGGGAGAAAAGAAATTCTATTTGAGGACATCTGTGTATCAGTTTGCAGAAGAAGTCCTTTATGTTTAACTAACTGCTACAATCTCAAAAGCTTATTGCTTTGGTCCTTTCAAGTCATCATAATGTAATAAGAAATCTACAACTGGAAAGTGAAAATATGAATTGTTCATGAAGATACTGACCGGACGTGACTCAAAATGTACCAAGAGAACTAACCTCCAAGATTGATAGAGATTGGACATTCTTTATATTTGGAACCACCAAACCATGTGGAGTAGCCATCGCAATCCCAATGTTATGAGATCCTAATGAATAATTAAACAGAGAATTAGTTTTGCATAGGAAAAAATCATAGAGCTTTGACTTGCATTGGAACTACCAGAAGTATTTATCAACTAAACTTGAGTGAGTTCATGCACCTCTCATGAATTCAGAAAGATTCGATTTAAGTGAACTTCTGATAGCAAAACACCAAAATTTTGTTTGCAGACCAACCGCTAGGGCCTAGGTAGATAAGAGTACTTACCTTTGAGTATAACCTCATTAAGTTCTTCATTAAAGCGACTATTCAGCCATGGATATTTACTCATTGCCATTGACAGTGCCTTTATCAAAATTGGCAGGAATGTAAACTTGATATCTGGATCAGCATTTTCATTTTGGAATGATGATTTGAGCTTTACTAGAGCATCACAGTTAATTTCCTCCACATAATGGAAATGTGGGATTTTGGCAGCTAATGTCATTGACTTGACCATAGCACGCTGATATCCCCTAGAAAGTTAAATAACAGTGGCTTAGAATTGTAAATGTGCACAACAAAAGCTTATGATTGACATTATATGGATGCATAGCAAATATGAACACTCTTGAATATAAGACATTCTTGACAAAGATATCCATCAAAGTACCCGTCATTACAGTAGAAGCATGACAACATACCTCAGTGTAATTTTCTTATCTTCGAAAACTTCTTTGTTTTCTCCAATAGGTGATCGTTCTTCTGAATTATCACTTGAAACAGTTGGACTGACCCTTATAATTCCCTTCTTTGCAGCATAATTAATGACATCTTCTCGTAAAACTCTTCCATCTTTACCGGTTCCAAGGACATCACCTATATCAATACCATACTGTTTTGCAAGATTGCGAACAGCAGGTGTCGAGAGAACTTTATTACCACCTCCCTTCTGTATTGGATTGGGGAAATCTGCATAGAGAACATTAGAATCTGGCTCTTCCACACCATCTGAAGAATCTGAAGTCTCAGTAGGCTCAGAAATTTCATCTACAAATAATTTCAGGAGAGTATCTCCAACCTGTAAACCAACAGAAAACAAATTAATCAGTTTCACAGGAGTTAAAACAATAATCTTGAATATCACCAAACATGAATTTGAAATGGGAACTAAAATTCATGGAAGTTGTTTCAACAGAAGGGGGAAAATAGAGAAACAAAGATACCCTAGAAACATCAAGGTTAATGGTGATGACAAAATTAACTGGATGCTCAACTCCTGCCAAGCTTGGCATATCAGGATTGTCAGAATCAAACTACCCATCCAATTTGAGAAAAATTTATTGCTTTTCTGGAGCAAAGATCTACTCTTTTGAAAACACTATTAAACCAAATCACAAAAAGGTGCAAGCTCTGGAAATCAAAAGAAGAAACCAATCTTGCAGCAATTAGATTACCTTTACAATATTGCCAGGAACATGGAGAATTTCAGAAACTTTTCCCTTGTAGCGACTGGTTATTTCAATGGTGGCTTTGTCACTCTGTACTTCGCAAAGTGGTTGAAATTCTTCAACTTGATCCCCCTGCAATAAGTCTAGCTCATTTTTATAACTTCATACATACATAGGTCTGATAAAAATTAACCATGAAGATGGTACATTGGCCCCGATCCAGATAGCTCATAGGTAATTTAAAGGAATGCGGTAGAAGTCTACTAACTGTTTACTTAATTACACAACCAAGAAGGTCTGGAAACGAAGCATGTGAACGAAGTGAAAACCCAAATTCACCAGTAGCAAAGCCAAAGAAATTGCGATTCAGAAATTAAACAAAGCCAAGAAACAAATTATACTAACCTCTTGAACAAACCATTTGAGAAGCTCACATTCAGCAATGCCTTCTCCAGTTTGTGCCAAGGGGATATCAACCATCCCATTAACTGGAGAATCAGCGAGAGCTTGAGTTGAAAAGCAATAGCTAGTCACACCAAATTGACAGCTGAGCTGCAAAAAAAAAAGAAGACATGAGCTTGGCAATAGGATTCCCCAATCCAGATCACAAACTCTTCAAAATAAAAGACAGAATAAAACACAACAACCAACACCAACATTTCTAAACTCTGGTGCCTAACCCGGAAAAAAATGTATATATGACTAACTTCAAAATCCAATCTTTATGTTACCACAGGTTAATTTCCATCATGCACTACTACTCCTTAATGATCCCAACTTTATCGGCAATCCATTAAAGCAAAATTTAATTTAACCAACAATCAAACAGTTAAAAGAGGCAACGCAAATGATTGACAACTTCACCACAAAATGAAATGCTAAAGTCCTCAACTTTGGCAATCAATCAAACATCCCACAAACTTACGCGCAAAACTAAAAGTATGAGAATTTAATTTACTACTTCAAGAATGTTTTCCTAAGAAAAGGGGAATAGCAGAAAGCCAATAAGGAAGTAGAATTACATGATTGAGCTTTTGGTTGAGTAGATACGACATCGTGGAGGAAGGGAATCTGGGAGGAGCAGCATGAGCATGACAAGTGGAACCCAGTTGGAGAAAGGTTGTTGGGGAGGTACCGGAGGCCGGAGCAGGTGAGAAGGACAGTAAACGGCGGCACGACCACCACTGGTCGGGATATTTCCATAGCTTCTTCTGATAAATTCTCCGGCAAATCATAGTCTTTTCTTAACTCTAAGCTTTGGTCGGACAGTTCCACTCCTTTAATTTAACGTTCCTAACAAAAACTAACGAAATCAAAAAATGATAGGGATGATGAAGAATTGATGACAACAGATGGTGGGTATGTGTTACTGATTCGGGTAAATGGAATTCGATCTTTTTGGCTTTTTCGTGACTATTACATTGAAGTTGGCATCATGGTACAGCTACAGAGTTTGGTAGAAGTTGTCTAAAAAACAAAAATAAAGATCAAGCTCATTAAGAAAATTTCCAAAATTATTTTATATAAAATAGAAACTCAAATTCAGTAAACTGAAAATAAAAGGCATTGATGATATTTTGATATGTATTTATAGTATTGTATCATACTGTACTAGAATTTGTTGTTTCCTCAAAAAATCGCAATCAACTTGCAAACTTTGAATTCATGGGTGAAGAAGACAATAGAGAAACAATAGACGAGTAGTAAGGGAAAGTGATTCATTAACACTTCTTTGTTCTTATCCGTGTCGAAGGCCAACTAACATTCTCGTGTTTATCATCTCCCTTTTGTTCTTGAATTTTACGTATTTTATTTTCTATGACATATTTTCCTAACAGAACATTTTTTTTCTTCACGAGAATGGTTTGAGTTGTTTACCAAAGGCAGGCAAGTTTGTATTACAGCAGCAAAAAAGATTGTAAAACCACGAAACGAACGCCACGACCTAGTTTGATCTATTACGACACTATTTGTTGAACTACAAATGGAACTTACAGAAGTAGTCTGCAAAAAGTCTTTTAACTTCACAAGGATTTATGCCGAACACATTGTAATAGTATCAATTTTATCAGCAAATCAGATGTAACAACACAAAAGTACAACTACTTTTCCCTTCTTTTTCCATAGACAAGGAAAACTACTCCACTTCTTGCAGGTAATCCTCAACCGCTGCAGCATCAAGAACCCTGCAAAGAAAAAAGTAATGGTAAAATAGAATGAAAAACAACTCAGCGTTGCAAACATCCATAACAACTTAGAACCAGAATTTATTATGATGAGGTCACTCACCGAAACTTTCTGTCACTTCCAATGATACCAATCTCGATGTTCTTCCCGGAAATTTGTCCTTCAAACCTACTCCAATGATGCAAAGTATATTACGATGAATTTCGCAGTACACCATGGTAGATAATAGCAAGATCCAAGTGTCCGAATTCATACAACTTATTGAGATTCTTAAAACCAACTAAACAAAAGCACAAAGAGAGAGGACACGAGGCCAAGAGTTTGGTTTTACCCTTCTTTAAGGGTCAAAATTGCTGTGTGTACAGCATCATCAAGTTCCATATCCTCTGAATACCTGCCACAAATAACTCAAATTTGACGTTACCAGGCAAGAGCAAGCAGCAACTCAGGCAATTAAGACACTCTACACTACAACAGTGATCACTGATGACTAATGACTGACCTCTTTTCAAGAAACGTTTTTGCATTAGAAACATTCTTCCCCATAGCTGAAGCTTTCCAGGAAAAGTATGAGCCTGATGGATCCACCTACCGACAAAAGGAAACAACAGCTTCAGGAATATTTACGTTCTTGGCAGCATTTCCAGATAATACAAACTTTACAAACCAGGCCAGGCAACACGGCAACATTTAGTTTTCTTCGGTGGAATTATAATGTGAAAGGTACAAATTTCAAAACCCCAGCATTCAGAATCTCCAGTAGAATGTATTTCCCAATACATGTGGAAGCTAAATCAGAAAAGGAAACACAAAAAAAAAAAGATTAAACTATTGGCAGTCTGGCAGATAAAACTAGATGACTTACTTGATATAGCTGTGGGCCCTTGTCATCATAACCCGCAACCAAGAGTGAAACACCAAAAGGGCGAACCCCACTGGAACAAAACCAGAAAACATGAAATTGCAAGATAATTAGCATCGTGCCAGTTAATCAAACATATGGTAAGATTATGCAATGTTTAAGAGACCAAATTATGCTCTGTATATCAGAATCTGGCAAATGTCTCTTTTAGTTTTGATTTGAGCTTCGATCACATTATCTTCCTGAAGTTGAGTAAAGGAAGAAGTTATTATTGTAATCACAGTGTTGAGCCTAGGAGAAACTACCTCCGGTGTTTCTGATTTAAACTTTCATAAACTGTGTCGTATTTGAATAAAAAGCTTGAAGACAGGAAAGCCACAATACAGCCCCCATCCACTGTAAGCTGAATTGCGTTCACTTGGATCTTTCTAAGCAAAGTACTCTGGTTCCCAGATTCATGTTTCTTATTATCACAGCTAAGCAACTTACGAGAATAAATTAATTATTGCAATGAAAAAACTCAACTCCGGAGGTGATTATTATTTAAATAAATGTAATTTGATGCTTCACGAGTAGGAGCAGATAGAGTCACATCTCATGAATCCTAAAGAAAACAACATCATCCTCATGGCAGTGGACATAGAGGATGGCCAAAAACAATCACATAATGATAAGCATAGATTACCCTGATTGAGTAAATTCCTGCATAACTGTGGCTGTTTCCCTGACAAGTTGTGTAACAGGAATTGCTTCCTGCGAATAAACAGCAAAGAGAGGATAAGGTACAAAATTAACATCACTTCAATGGCACCAAAAGTTCCAACAGAGATTTAATGCTTCAAAGAATGGAAACTTGTCATTATGCACTTACGAAAGAGAGGGGGGGAGAGGGGGGGCGTTTGGAACATATATCAATAGCTTATCACTTACTTTATAAAGTCGATAATATTGCTCTGCCTGCTTCCTACTTTTCCGAACTAAAACTCGAAAATCTGGGCCCATGCCACTGCAGGAAAAAAGGGAGCGTGATGAAAGAAATGTAACAACATGCATCATCAAATGTAGAATACACTTGCATGCGATGAGGTTAGAATACTAAAATGAAATGAAGTCAATCCCGGGTTTTTAAAAAGAAAAGTGTAAGCCAAGAGCACTATAAAGATGTAACATAGTAACCAAATGCCATGCAAGATTTTCTTCCCCTTGAGCAGACGCTGGACCTCAAGGAATGTCAAAGAAAAAAGCCCTACAAACTGTGGGATATCAAGGCCTTAATTTCATTCATCAGCAACTACACTCCTTGAGACAAAACAGGTGCAGGTAAAAGTCACATAAGAGATTTCAAAATAATAAATAATGCATCGCTATCCTCCGAACAAAACTATTCAGCTACAATCATATTGCATACCTGTACACAACTCCAATATTTGAGGTCAAATTCTGAATTTTATTCATCTGAAGCAACAAAATCAACCCCATATATCAGAACTCTATGCAACAAGAAGTATATTCAAATCTGACCGTTAAAAGCCAAAACAAGACTACATATATAAAAACACTTCAAAAATTACAACTTGAAAACAGTCTATACAGTAGAAAGTCTCCTACAAACTTTGAGAAGAAAACTAGAAAAAAGTATATAATTAGGTAAGAGAGGGGCGTCATGGAACACTCACAGATGTCTCATCAACCAGGATGGATGGCAATTTCTTCTCAGTTGCAATTACAACACCGTTGGCAGCTACAACAATTACATATCAAGTTACTGTCACAACTTTATGCGAAAAAGATGCTATCAGATATTTTAATAAGAGAGACATACAACTTGCAGATTCACCCAAATCTAAATTACCATAACTAACTGACTAACTAACTAACAACAGCAACAACATAATACCCAGTATAGTCCCAAAATCGTTGGGGTCTAGGGGGTCAAGATGTACCCAGTCTTACATCTATATTTCAATACAGAGAGGCTGTGTAAGTACAACCCAGAATGCTTTGGTGCATTTGATGCATTTGATGCATCGACTTCCAGCAATTTCACTAAAATTAAGAAGCACAGGAAGTTAACTGTCCACTTTGATCTAGTAAATTATAAGGACAAAGCTAATAGAATTGTCAATGATGACTCTTCCAGCCATTTGCAATGGACATACTATAACTAACAACAGTAAAGATAACTACAAGTTGCATTTAAAGCTGAGATTAACAATTTTTTTGTCTACCACAGTATCAAGGTGATCTCTTTATACTGATCAACAGGGACAGCGTCACAAACTTAATTAACTTCTACCTTCAGTCCAAACTATAAGGCACAAATTAATACTAGAGTTAGCTCAAATTTGTATCTAGGACGAGAGGGAGTATACAATTGCAATAATTGCTTCACACTAAGAAATGGAAAGGGCCAAAAAAACCCCTTTAAAGGACATTACAGCTTAAACCCATGAGATCAACCAACCTGAAAGTTGAATTATATACGAATCAGAAATCCTGCCTAGATGTATTAAAAGAATTCTGAAAGTATAAATACCTTTTATTCCCAATGATGTTTGACCAGATCCGACAGCTGTCAAGGCGTGTTCAATCTGAACAAGCTTTCCAGAAGGACTGTTAAAACATGAAAATCAGTAGCATGAATCAACACAATCTTATGATGGATAGACGCACATATTTTTAGGTATCTTATTTCATCACAGAAAAGAAAGCTAATTCCATACCTGAAAGTGGTTAGCGAAAAGGAGTACTGACTATCCCCCATTTTGTATGAAATACGAAATTAATTACACCCTGCAGCAAGAATGGATTAAGAGGTAAGGTTAACAATATTCAAAAAAATATGAAATCATCTAATAAAAAAAAGTACTCCCTCCGTCCCATAATTATTGTTCAATTTGGGTTTTCATTTCTAGTTCAAATTGTACTAAAAGTGAAATCTCAAAGTGGACAATAATTTTGGGACAGAGGGAGTACTTAATCCAAGAGGATCAAGACAATTATACACACAATTGTAAAAGCTTTTCCTCCATCTAACAACAAAGAACAGGCTGCAGTAAATCTGTTTCAACAATTACGGAATTTCTCCCTCTTGAAATCACGGACGAGGATAGCTAAATTGGCTGTAGTAGAAGCTATTTCCTCACAAGTAAATACATGCAGCACAAAAGCAATAAATTACTGTTTTCCATGAGATACCAAGAATTAAAATTGCGACTTTGGCCCTAAGCTAGGGCTCAAGCTCCAGGTGAAATAAACTTGTGCACGACTATATCAATTAGCACAAACCACTGGCCAAAACCCTACTTTTTATTTCTTCAAATCAATTATTCCGGTTTACGGCAAAGATCGTACGAAATTAACAATACACAAGGCTCTCAAAACTCATATTTCAGCTAATGAAAGCATCGAATTGAGATAGATAGTTTCTCGTATACAGAAAGAACAAGTAGAATGCCATACCTTAAAGTGTAGTAGCCCGAAGACGGTAAACTCGCCGATTTACAGACGCCGGATAATAAAGACGGAAGAACTCGGCGGTGGTTTAGATCAGCGTGAAAAACTTTTAAACTGATGTTTTGTAGCCCCAATTTTTACGGACGGACCTCTGCAACAATCGGTCCATCCAAAACCAAAACCAGGCCTGTTATCCACTTTAAATAGCCCAACAGATTGTATTGTGAATCCGCCCAAAATTTTGTCCAATGACTAAGTTTTAACCGAATGGTTGTGATGAAGTGGAAGGGATTCTTCCGTCCTTAACCATAAATCAAGGGTTTGAACCTCGTTAACCATAAATCAAGGGTTTGAACCTCGTCATGAGCATAGAGCAATCTTAAATACTTTGGCTAACTGTCATAAGCATTGAGGTGCTTACAATTCAGCGAGGGGGATTAGTCACTGTTGCCGACGTTGGACACCCTACAAATATGAAAAAAAAAAAAAAGACTAATAATTTCGTAAGTGTGTTACAAGAAATATATTAATAAAATAAAAAAAATTTTAAGTCAATTATTAAATCTTATAAGTACCACAACACGTACCCGATTAGTTGTTGGCTGTAATAATAATAATAGAACAAACAACACCATATCATCAAAATCTCTCTAGTTGAAAATTGGTTTAGCAGGAGTCACCATCTTTTTATACATTTAATAATAGTTTGTTTAATGCATTGTTGACTTGATGTATTTTAGGTGGGAAAACCTTTAACTACACGTAACACGTCACTTTTATTCTCTCTCTTAATTTTTTTTTAATAATGAATCATTAGGGTCATTGAGTTTAATTATAAGGATAGTGTTTTATTTTAATTTTTGCCGTAATTTTACTCGTAAAATTTCTTCTTTTTCTTTTTTACCTTATTTTTTTTACCAAAATGAGAGTATTTTTTCTTGGTGAGTAAAGGATGCATTACGACATTAGATCACAAAACATGGAAAGTTCTTTATCTGACTGTTGCTGCATTATTAGGAGCTGATTTTTATATGTATTTATAATAAGAGCTTGTTTTTATCTGTATCTTTGGCAGCTACTTATAATACGTAATGAAATTAAAAAATATATTGATTGTGTTGTTAAATCTGATGAAGAAAAAAGATCCAGTTAATTTGTCATTTAACAGTGCATCTTTGTACCACAACTTTACTATTGATTCAAGTGATTGTTCAAATGTCACGATTCTTAATGTACTAAAAAATACAAATACAATTCAAAAAATTACTCCTTCTGTCCCATAATTATTGTTTACTTTGCCCAAAATTATGGGACGGAGGGAGTATATCATAACGAAAGGAGTGTAATATATCATACTTCATTTTTAACAAGGTACCTGTATAATATACAGGTTAAAATGAAATGGATTTACATACAATGATTGGCTGAAACAATCTTTCAAACATGTAGACAACGTGTTCAACACTCAAATCAAAGTGAATTAGAACAATGGTAATTTACTAATAACATTAATACTTTATTCATACTAGAATAATTGTATACCTTGTTATTTCTTCGTTCTGAAATTATCGTTCACTTTAGATTTTTATTTTTAAATATTGTCTACTCTAGATTGTCACTTTTAATTTATTTTGTCGTAAAAAAAAAATCTAAATTGGGCAATAATTTTGAGAGGACGGAACATATTTTTAAATCACGATGATTTCGAAAGTTAGGAAGGTGATAGTATTTACTATTTAGTAATGACGAATACAAAAAAATCATTTAAAATGGGGTCAAATTTAAAATTGCTCAAAATATTTTACCTCTTTGCAAAATATTACCAGTATTCTTCTACTTCCAAATATTACTAGTATTTTAAAATTGCTCAGCGTCAACCACGGCAGTCGTGTTCATCAACAGCCAATTTGTTGTTGCCTCCAGAACTTTCCAAAATACAAAAAAATTCAAATTTTTCTAGAGTTCCAAATGGGTTCGATACTCTCAATCGTTCTCACAGTTTCAAGCCTAAACCCAAACAAATCCCAAATTAACCATTTTCCACATCTTTCAACCGGCCATGGCCACCACTTTAGGTTTCAGCTTGAAATCCGGCACGTTGTCGATTTTTTTTTTTTACTTTTTTTTAACAGAAATCGGATTTAGCCGATTCATCGTCCTTCGTCATGGTCAACGGTCAACCTGGTTTCTCATCTTTCAAGAACCGACTGGATCAAGCGGCGACCTTGTTCCTGCTGGTTGAAATGAGCATTTCAACTGGACTGAGAAAACGGCGAAAAAAAAAAAAAGGTGAGTCCAGTGCTGAAATATTTCTGTGTTTAGGAGAAAAAATTAAGATAATATTTGTCTCTGTTTAAGACTATGAAAACATATAGATGGTGGATCCTCCGGATCCGTAGTATAGCTACTCCAATGGTTATTAGAAGATATTGGGTGATGATCTTGGTTACTGTGGCTTTGTTTTCGGTTGTTGGAGTTGCTCGTATGATAATTGCTGGTGGTAACATTGATCAAAATTTGAGGATAGATGATGATATTTTTTATCTGGCTAGTTTACTATTGTTTGCCCACCTGTTCATAGTCGCTATTCGGCGAGCATCAGGGATTTGTATTGTTCAGGAACACAGAGATGGAGCTGATTCAGTTGTGGATACGAATGAATCTAATGTCAGCGGTTATGCTTCGGCTTCTCCAATCTCCAAAGCGATGTGGCTATGGATGAATCCTTTACTGAGTAAAGGTTCTAGAGCGCCTCTAACGTTAGATGAAGTCCCTGCGCTTCCACCAGTTTACCGAGCTCAAGAAATGGCGCAACTCTTCGAGACGAATTGGGGCGAGTCTGGTAAAAAAGTGAAATACGCGTTGATCAGGTGTTTTTGGAAGGATATTGCTCTGACTGCTTTTCTTGCCATGGTGCGATTGGCTGTTATGTTTGTTGGTCCTAGCCTAATCCATAGTTTCGTGAAGTTTGCTTCCGGAGACAGAAGCAACCTTTCTGAAGGATATTTTCTGGTATTGACTCTTTTGGTTGCCAAACTTGTGGAAGTCCTCAGTTCACATCAGTTCAATTTCCAAACTCAGAAACTTGGCATGCTTATTAGGTCAACTCTCATTACCGCCTTGTACAAGAAGGGGCTTAGACTTTCTTTTTCCTCTAGACAAGCTCATGGTGTTGGACAAATCGTGAACTATATGGCTGTTGATTGCCAGCAGCTTTCAGACATGATGCCGCAGATGCATTCATTATGGTTGATGCCACTGCAGCTTGGAGTTTCTTTGGTCCTCCTCTATGCTTACGTAGGTGGTGCAATGTTAGTATCAGTGTTTGCAATTGCATCCATGATTGCTTTAACATTCTTGATTGCTCTCAGAAACATCAAGTACCAGGTCAACCTTATGATGAACCGTGACTCTAGGATGAAGACAACCAATGAATTGCTCAACAACATACGGGTCATCAAACTTCAAGCATGGGAAGAACATTTCAGTAAGCAAATCCAAAATCTTCGCAGAAAGGAATATGAGTGGATTAGCAAGCTTATGTATGCCATTGCTTACAACTTGTCAATGATTTGGAGCATTCCAGTTGTTATAGCGGCTCTTATATTTGTCGCTGCCATTTTTATGCACATTCCACTTGAGGCTGGGACAGTTTTCACGATAACTACTATTCTAAAAATCTTGCAGGAGCCTGTTAAAACCTTCCCACAAACTCTTATGTCAATTTATCAGGGAATGATTTCACTAAAGAGGTTGGATGGGTATCTAACAAGTTACGAGCTACAAACTAAAACAGTGGAAAGGGAGGAAGCCTGTGGTGATGGATTAGCTGTGGAAATTATTGGTGGTACTTTTTCGTGGGAAGATGAAGGTGAAGAGCAAATATTGAAAGACATTAATTTCCAAATCAAGAAAGGACGGCTCTCGGCAATTGTTGGAACTGTTGGATCAGGGAAATCCTCTTTACTAGCAGCTGTCCTGGGTGAACTTCACAAATCTTCTGGGAAGGTATATGCTCCTTTTATCCCATCAAACCAGCACATAAATTTACAGTCAAATTGATTGTCAGGCTTAAACGGTTAATTAAACTTAGTTTACTTTATGCGAGCTAGTTCAAGATATCTTGGTTTTTTTTTCTCAACTGGTCTTACTGTGTTGTTTCTGCCATTTCTATCATTTTCTGACTAAATCACATGTATGAAGGATGTTTTCCAGAATGGATCTGACTCTTACTCTATGTATGCATTATGCTCGTGTCTCTGGTGTTTTGTTTCTATATGCAGGTCAGAGTTTGTGGAAACACTGCAT